CAGAGTACAAGAACTGAAAGAGACCAATCGAATCTACCCAAACAATGATGGCGTTCCTGTCCTCCATCAAGGCCAAACCTTGTTTGAATTTCATGTTGACGATATTGTGGTCTCTCATAATCTTCCGGAGCTCCAGGGGAATCTGTTTGGAGGAAACTACAGCCTTCGACTGCCCGCCAATGCCAGACGTACAATTGTTTGGGGGCAAGATGAAGTTGTGTCGAATGAGAAGGCAATGAATTCGATGGCGTGGTATGGGTCAGAGGGACAACAAGGGCTCCGACCCAAGGACCTTGGTTGCTCTATCATGATATCTGGAGTGGTTAGCAGGGAGGCAGGCTGGATGCCTATTCCAACACCAGAACAGCTACGATTGATTAATGCAAACAGAGCTGGCAAAGACTATTTTGCTAGAGATGCGGCCATTGCTGTCCACGGCAGCGCTGCCAAGCGTCCCTTCACTGAAATTAGTGTATTCCGGTTGTTGTCTGCCTCTGGGTGGCCTCTTCCCAGCGACAATGAGGCTACTGGATCAAACTTATCACACAATCGTCATGCTCGAAATTATCGCAGATTTGGTTTGCTGTATTATGCTACCACAACATGTTAATTTTAGAACGACCAGCCAAGGATACAGGCAAAGTAGGTGAGGGATGGTTTGGACGCATTTCGTCTCAACAAAGAGCCTGGTGGGCAGCAACCAAAGATGCATGAAACCACTCTGACGGAAGGCTGCCTTGGTCCTTTTGACAACAACGGATGTAGACTTGCTGTTGGTGCGGTCCAGCGATGTGTATTTTCAGAGGACGATCAAGGCCCAAGTTGGATGTCCTCCGAACAGCAATCTACAACCAAATATGACCAAGAGTTCGAGGGTGAAACTGTGATGAGAGCTCTACGGTCTAAAAAAGAAATCCACGCTCACCTGATCCACAAGCTTGGAAGCAACACTGCCGGGCTTCCATCTGATCCCTCGCGCACTTCCCTAGCGTTCCTCCGAGACATTGCCAATCAACACTGCATAGATCTATCCGTTGAGGAAGTCAAGAAGCAAAAAGGATGGGTCAACACTCCAAAAGGAGCTCTGCAAATGTGCATTGAGAGAGGCTTGGTTGACTTGGAGCTTGTGAAGAGACGAAAAGGGCACTACACGATGCCTGGGAGGAAAGATGCCGAAGGCAAGTTGATCGAGGGAACAAGCCTCCGCATGCTGCTCCAAGGATGCGATGATTTCAAGAAGGAAATCTCTATGCTAGAGTGGGTAGCCAAGCAGTATGGATGGCGAGTTATCTTCTCTCCAAAGTGCCATCCAGAAATTGCCGGTGTTGGCATTGAATACGTGTGGTCAGTGTCAAAGAACTGCCTTGTTCGGATCCCATTGCCACAACGAAAAGGAAAGGATCGCTTCACGAAGCAAGTCTTGGATGTGTGCTTCCACAGTGAGAAGACGCTGACGAAACAAACGGTGCGAGGCTGTGCACGGAAGGCGCGACAGTTCGTAATTGCCTATTTGCTTTTGCACGCAGTCGAAGCAGCCGGAGACGAAGGAACCGGCGGCACAAAGCCGCTCACTGGAGAGGTGTCGATTGAGACGATGCGGAAAAAGCAATCCGAGCTGAAGTTTGCGACGATACGAGCAGCCCAGAAAATGTACAAGCGCCACCGAGGTATCGCCATGTTTGATCACGAAGAGGAGAAGATATCATTCACTGGCAGCGAGAGTATCGAAGACTGGATGAGAAAGGAACAAAGGAAGAGTGCTTAAGTATGAGGTTATTGTCTAGCTATGGATACCGCTAGTCTTGTTTTCGGTTGAGTTGTTGCCATCGGCCTATAGGATAGTGTAACAAACGAGTAAGTCTTGTACCAATGTCATTCTGTGCTAGTCGTAGTAATGAGTTGCCGGCTTCCTTTTCGACTAGGCCATCGCTTCACGCTTCGATTGGTCGGCATGGATAAGAGCAGGACGGAACAGCTTTGCAACACGCCTGTTCTCACGGTGGAACGGCATCGTAACTTGGAGTTTCGTAATGGCAAAGCTTCCCACAAACGTCACAACGTCAACCAAGGCTCTCTGCGGTCCATGAGCACCATTCATCGTCTGAACGGCTCTTGTTTTGTTAATACTCCAGTCGGCTAGAGGTGGCAAATACAAGTGAGAGACGGTGGAGTCACAACCTCCATCCACTTGAAGCCGAAACTGACAAGATGAGCCCCGCAACTTCTGAAAGGTGCCCTGACCAGCCACAGCCTTGCCGGAGCCATCAGCCATCCAATAGTATACATTGCACTGGAAGACCATGGCAACACCATGTCCATCCCCAGCATCAGCCATGACAGGATCCCAGAGTTGATTCATGCTAGCAAGGTTGTGTGGTGTTGTGGGTGCCGTCGTGTAGTGGTTGGATTGTGGCTCGGCCGTGCGTCGTCGGTGGCTACTATTGGCTGCTGTCGGTGGCTGTTGGCTAGTGGGAATGTGGGTATTGGCGACTGTTGGTGGAGTCAGTAGCTTCTGAGCTGTCGGTGGCTTGTTGCTGCTGAATTGTGGCTGTCGGTGGATTGGTTGTGGACAAACTCGTGGCTCGTGGCAAGTGAGGCGCCTTCACACGAAAGCGGCGGCAAAATTCAAATTCAAATGCGAGAGGATCAGTCGTCGTGATGAGAGGATCAGTCCTCATTATCTCATCATCCAACTGAGCAAACAGCAATCATGGTCAGCACCAAGTCCTATCCTGTTCCATTCGAAGACAAGCTTGGCGAAGATGAGCTCAACAGGCTCAAGAGGCGCATCAATGAAGCTCTTTTTAATGACAAGGAACGAAACACCAATGTCATTGTCTTTGATCGTAATCCTCTTTCTGACAAGGAGTTGGATGAGGTCATGATCTACATCAGCAGCCATGCAATTGTCACCTCTGTCAAGCACACCATGGACGCCATTGAGGCCACCACTGAGGATGATCGCAAGGTCAACATCACTCTCTTTTTTGGTGGCATCTGTTTCAACCGCAAGATCGTCCAAGCCAAGAAGAAAGCTCGCGAATCTGTTGAGTCTGCAGACTCTGCTTTCGGTGCCTTTGAGGATGTCACTGGTCAGGGATTGACACAAGTGGTTGGTGCGTTCGCTCCTGCCGATGCTGCCGAAGATGCCGCCAAGAAGAAGATGGCGGATGCGATTGCGGATGCGATTGCGGAAGACCTCGACGACCTCGACCTTGACGATTAGAGCCGACTCCAATACCAGTAGCAGCCGCTCAAGAGTAGATGGCTGCTACTACTGCGTCGTTATCTGCCGCGAAAGCAAGAGGAAAAGAGGAGGCGTCATGGTGGTGTTGTGCTCTTCGATCGATCGATCTGCTATTGATCTGCTGTTCGAGGAAAAAGAAAGAATAATAATAATAATAAAGGTGTCCTTTAAATGAATTTGAGTGGTGTCGTTAAATAAACCATTGTTCTTCCTGCGTCAGCATGCGAGCCAGCCATGCCAGTACTGATTCCTGTTAACCCTACGGCAGTTTCGATCTCATCGCAGGAGCCATAGTATGGTATCTATTACAACCAGGGTGTGAGAACCATCGGTGGTCAACCCACGGTTACGGATAAATGGTTACAGGTTACGTAACTGGTTAAAACCAGTAACCAGATAGATTTTTGCTATCTGGTTGATAACCTATAACCTAACCAGATAGCCATATCTATCTGGTTGACGTAACCTATAACCTAACCAGATAGGATTTGGCCTCTTAACTGGTTACAGAGCTAGTTGTCTATGTGGTTACTCATAGCCAATAACCTAATCTATAACCATATAAATAACCACTCCTATCTGGTTACAGTAACCTATAACCTAACCAGATAGAATTTCTGTATCTGGTTGATAACCTATAACCAAACCGGATAGAATTTTCTATCTGGTTGCTGTAACCTATAACCTAACCAGTTCAAAAGCTATCTGGTTCTCACATTACAACTAGACTCAGTACGTTGAACTAGTATGGTACCGGTACGCTGTACAGTGTCCGATTGTAGTGCCCTGTACCGGTGGCTCCATCGACTGGTGGCTCCATCGACTGACGACTGAAAACAGTAGTACTCGAGTAACATACACACATACTTCAATCAGCAATCATTCAATCAATCACTCCTCATTCGGAAGCTTCTCCGAATGGTGTACTGGTACTGGTACCGGTGAAGCTAAGGTACGGTATTTTAAAATACGCTTTCTCACCATGGAACTACAGTCGTCTGCTTCAACAGTTCTCAACCGCTGCTTCAACTGGGTTGAAGTCATCAAGGAGTTGTTGACTGCTGCTCCGAGTGGGTAGCTGCCGCTACCGGTACTACATGCACCTGGTATTAGCTGGTAGACTAGCTAGTGGCTACCGTAGAAAGAAAAGCTCCAGTTCTCAGTTGTCAGAAAGCATGGCTGTACACTGTACTTATGCAGACCAGCACCAGGAGGGAGTTCCTTCTTCAGATCGGATTCACGGCAAGCCCATTGGCCAATACAGTCCAAGCCGTTTGATTTCCAGAATGTGGTTCCTACCTTGGCACTCAACTGTAGGGCATCCCCTGATTGTTCCACCTGGCATAGTCCATTGTTTGGCCTGCAAAATGGATGCCATTAGCATAGGATTCGTATGAGACGCCGGTAACGGCAGCAATTCCAGAACCAACAGAAGTCCAATCGGGGAACCACAGTGCAAAGAGAAGGAAGGATAGTAACGTCACACCCTTGAGCCCCCTCGCATATCACTCCACCAACCTCTTGCAGATCAGCCTTGTTTTCGCAGAGGACAGCCTCACAATTGGAAACCCTGGCATAGGAAGATGTGGGTGTTGGGCCAGTGGTTCCGGTTGTTGGCGTGGGTTCTGGAGTGCCTGTCGTACGCTGGACGCTGGCACGGACCACCAAACAAAACGTTTGTTGCTCCGAACATGTCAGAGTCCTGGTGGAAGCTTCTAACCCATCGATTGCTGCACCGATAGCTGTTGAGCCATCTGGGTAGGTCACGGCGCAGACAGGCGGAAGAGTAGAATTTATAGCAGGCAGGGGCATCTTGGCATTGCACCGCATCAAAGTCCATTGAAACATAAGCATCTTTGCAGGCACCGCTCCGCACACGACAGAAGTGGAATTTTTAATGGAAGTTCCGTGGCAGGCGTTGCTATCACAGACCAGGCTGAGGCAGTTATCGATCTTGGCACCACGTCAAGGGCCAATGTTGAGTTGCGGCACTGCATCAGAGGGAAGAGTGCCTACCGGTACTGGAGAAATTGTAACTCCTGTCACACTGTTGATGGCAATACCAATGAAAGCTGAGCGGTCTTGGAAGTCATGCAGGCTCCCACAACGACGCTCGAAACGGCGAAATCTTGGGGGGGGGGGGATAATAATGCTTTGTTAATGTTCGGTAGTACCATAGCTACAACCATATCGGTACACCATACCGGTAGCAGCGCTGTGGAGTCGCGTGAGTTGTTGAAGTGCAAATGCGAATGTGCAACAGCCACTTGTCAAGTACTCGAGTACGAAGTAAACAATAAATGCTGCCAATTGCCAATGATACAGGCCCTCGTATCCAACCAGCGTGACATTTCTATTCATCAAACTGAACCAATCCTTCCATGTTTCCACCGGTTTTGTCGGCCGCACTTGGTCCCTCAGGAGGCAGCAACTTTTCAGTGACCTCTTCTTGATATTGTCGCTTTTGCAGGGGAACAGGCGCCTTTCTTCCCGTCATTGTTTCCATCATCAACTGGTATTCTTTGCTCACTGCCTGGAAAACACCATAAGCTGTCATACCTCCTGAATTCTGGATGCTCCTATCCGCACCTGCTGCCAGAAGAATGTCCAGCACTTCAGCAGATTCATCCTTTTTCGACTTTCCAGCCATCATTCCTGCTGCAATCATCAGGGGAGTCTGCCCATTTGAATCAATCGAGTTCAGACAAGCATCCCGATCCAAACGCAACAATAGCAGAACACCCTTTTTGCTGTCAGTGGCAGTAGCTGCGTGGAGAGCAAAGGATCGAGCAATAGATCCACCCTGTTCAACAATCGACTTCACAGTTTTTTCCATGTCGGCCCCGCCATCTATCACAGCTTTTTGCAGCTCAGAGTCCTTTCCAGTTGGCTTGGGATTTTGTTTGGCTGGTTTGAAGAATGCGATGGCCTTGGCTTGCTCATGCGACAGCATATCACGGCACCAGTGGGCATGGGTTGCCACCAAAAAGTTTCCATGGCCACTCTTCGCCAATGCCCGGTCTTGAAAGAATCCAACCCTCAAGAATTGATTTGCATCTGCATGCTGAAATGCCTGCCACTGACACTGCTCTTCTTCTTCCTTTTTGATGCTTTCGGCAGTATCTGGTGCCTTTGATGGTCCACCCATCCACATGCCATGGCGCTCCTCTGCATCTTTTTCCTCCTTGGCAGTCAGTTCCTCCTTTGTCATAGCCTCTCTAGGATCTACTTCATAGACGGCACAGGAAACATCCTCTATCACTTCTGGTAAAGACAAAAACTTTCGAATAGCAGTTGCCCCAACGTCGGAAGCACCATCCTTTTTGTAGTCATCATCAACATGCAACTTGTCAATCACCAAGATGCTGTCTTTATCATCTGTGGCAGCCAGTGATTGGAGTCTAGTCTGACCATTCTTGGGTTCAAATATAGCAATACCAATTTGCTGAAGGGAAGCACTCTTCTCGTCCATGGTTGTGAGGAACCGTCCCCTCATCAGTGAGCGATCAACCACCGTGGCATAAATGTGTCCAATCTTTTTGACTTCAGCCCCTTTCTTTTCCACAATATCTGCACTCACACTACGGAAAGCTCCGCCATACTCGTCCTCATACTCGTCCTCCTCGTCCTCCTCTTCAATTCTACTGGTATTAATAATATCGATTGTTGCAGCCATCGTGGATCCCTTCTGTGTCCTCTTTTGTCTTGTGTCTTGTGTTGTCTGGTTGGAGTTTTTACGTGAGTGTTGCTTTGAGTACCGCGGTTATAAAGGCAAACGCATAGATTTTACAAAAGATCCAACACACACGAATGGCTCCTGCCAACCTCTTCGAACGGCTTCGCCTCATCGCTCTTGATCGCCATGACACCCCTCAATAATTGTTGAGTAGACTACTAACTAACAAAATGGAAGAAGGGAACACGTCTTGCTCCACAGGATGCCACAGCATTGGCTGCCGTTGGATGAGAAATCCATGGTACCAGTTCTGTAGCATCAGTGTGTGATCTACTGCCGAAAAGCAGCAGCAAGCCGGGATGAGACGTTCCAGCAGTGCTGGAAAGATTGCATCGGTCAGTGTCGTGGTTTTTGGATTCGCCTGCTTCGCATTGGTGTCATCCTCACAGGAACCACTTCACATTGCGCCTGCTGTGGAAGACGAAACGGACCATTTCTTCTTGGAGGCACCGCCAAGCGGCAACTCTCAAGACAACAGTTACTTGATTGATATTGCCGGTTTGGGCCATGGTCGCGACTTTTATGTTAGCGAGTCGTTGACCATTCAGTTGGAAGATGGCGGTCCCGTGTGGAAATTTCATAGTCAACAACCAGATATTCTCTCTCGCAGTGTCCGGCCAAGCTTTGTGGGGTCTACCCTCGATGGGACCGTCACCTGTAATCTGCTACGACACGCCAGTAGCAGCAACAGCGAGGACGATATTCTGACGGGCGTAGTACAAGATTTGGCCCGAGGTTTGTGGTATGAAATCAAGCCCAATGCAGATGGATTCAACACGGTAACGGTGGTTCGTGACGAAGACGTCCCAGAATCGGTAGATCCGACAGCGGCGCTAACGTTTCAGGAGAGTCCGGATGAATACGATGATACCAGCGAAGGCGACGCAACCAGCTTTCTGCAACGACAGTGGAACCGTATTCCTTCTGCAGTTCAAAAATCAATCGTTAACGGGGGAGAGAATCAGGCTGCTGCATCGGCAAACACCATCATTGACGTGTTGGTCGTTTGGACCATGAATGCAGAGTGCGTCAAGTCCAGTCTTGCAGCTGGTTGCGCAGTATCGGATGATACCCAGGCCAAAATGCAGGCTGCTGTGACACTCATGATGAGCGAAACCAACCGAGTTTACGAAAACTCCAACTTGGATCTGACGCTTCGACTAGCTCATGCTCAACGAGACACCACTGGTTTTCAGGAGTCGGGATTTGCCCGAGCACTTCTCTTCGCCTCCACTAGCCGGACCATCAAACAACTGCGATACGATCACCAAGCTGATATTGTCCTCTTCCTTATTGACAATGCAAAGGCTCCCCGTGTGGCTGGTATGTCGTACAACAATTTCATGACACCTGCCAAGCGAGGCTGGTTGTTTTCCGTCTTGGCAGCTCAATCCACCGCATTGCGATACGTTCCAGCTCATGAAATAGGTCACTTGTTTGGGTGCTTTCATGACCGAGGAACTCTCAATGCTTGTAACGCCAACACTACCAACTGGGGACATCGTGATGCGGACGGCAGATATGCCACAGTCATGGCGTATCGATGCACGCTGAATCAGTGCGATGGGCTAGCAGCGGCAAACCCCTGTCCACGGATTCCCTACTTTTCTGGCAACGTCGAGTATAATGGAGAATTCTTGGGAGGGTCCTTTAACAATTGTCGTGATCAAATCATGGCAACTAAAGATCTCGTGGCTGCCGTCATGCCGAGAGACGATGGGGTGGGAAGCGGTGCCTTGCTACTCGATTGCTTCTCCCCGCTGAATGAAGTTCAAGTGCTGGGGAAGGGAACAGTATTCATGCCAGACGTTCAAATTGGGGACCGTGTTTTGACGGCTTCGGGAAGCTACGAAACTGTTTACACTATTGACCATTACCATCCTTTTCGGCCAACAGAATACCTGCAGCTCAAGGCCTCGTTTTCATCTCTAAACACGACAAGGTTGTTGCGGCAACAAGATCTCTTCGTTGAGCTCTCTCCGTTCCACATGATCTTCCTACAGGATAGCGCCTATCCCGTGCCGGCCAACGAGGTCCGAATTGGTGATTTGCTTCAAACAACGCAAGGCCCAGCACAAGTTGCCCACATCACTTCTGTCGTCAGTGAAGGTCTTTACAATTTACTCACAACATCTGGAACTATCGTTGTCAGTGGTATTGTGGCTTCCACCTATTCAGTTCCTCCTTTCACTACAAGAAAGACCGCTGCAAATCATTTAGAAATTGCAGGGTGGAAGTTGTTGCACTTTCAAACGCTGATTCATCTCCTGTTGGCGCCACTGCGCGTTGTAAGCGTTCCTCTGTTGCGATGGCAACTCCGCAACAACCCAGATAGCCACTTCTGCAGAGAGGAGCGCAAGCCAAAGATTCATTGGTATAGTAAGATTGGACTCAGCATGGCAAACTGGTGGGCAAAGCAGAGCGCCTTGTTGCAAGGTATGGGACTTGGCGTAGTCCTTGTAGTTTGTGGGGTGTTCAACTGCGTCCCATGGATCCTTTCTGCCCTCTTGGTTGCGAGTACCTGTGATGTACTTGCTCGAAGCCAGTACAAGGGCGACACACAATAACTACCGGCAGCCTTGAGGTCTCCAGAACAGAGGATCAAACCAAAGGAGTCATCCCTTCCGAACGTGACGAGGGGTGAAACTCTTCTCGCCTTGCTTCCCAAGGAGTTCACCACGATCAAGCTGATGTTTGCAGTGGTCACCATCCACATCGTTTGGCATGCGGCGCAATCTGACAATGGAAACCTGGAACGATGAAACTATACACCGAAGAAAAGCAGCTACAAAGCCCTCCCTACAGTATCTCGTTCATCAGCGCCCATCTTTAGGAGCACTGATAAAGTTGACGACGCAGAGCATGCCATAGAAATTAGCTAATTAGAAAAGTGATAGATTATTCAATGGATTTATGCATCAAGAGACAAGGAACACATGCAATATGGATCGTACAAATCAATTGTGATGACTGGCATTGGCCAAGGGAGCTGAGAGATTCTGGCACACACAGGAGCAACCACACAGCATTGCATGGCAGTCAAAATGGAACAGCGATTTATCTGCAACACAGAGTTCGCCCATAAGCTCCCCAGCAAGTGCATTGCCAGAGAAGTTGACCAACTCAAGACGGGGACTTGACAAGACAACAGCCAATTCCTGGGGGACTTCTCCAGTCAAGTCATTATCTGAAACATCCAAGTAGGACAGCATGGTCATCAAACCAATTTCGGATGGCAATGGGCCAGTGAGTGCATTGCCAGAAAGCAAAAGTAATTCCATATTACCCAAGAGTCCAATTTGGGTTGGGATCTTTGAAGAGAATCTGTTGCCATCCAGAGACAACAAGTACATAAAAGACCAGAGACCAATTTCAGCAGCCAGAGGTCCAGCCAGCTGGTTCCTGTGCAGCTGCAGCTCTTCCAAGTGGGCCAAATTGTACATCTCTGCTGGAAGGGTTCCTGTGAGCATGTTATCCTGTAGATGAAGCATGGACAGGTCGAAGAGCTGTCCAATCTCAGAAGGGATCTTGGCAGTAAGTTCATTGTGATTCACTTTGAACTCAAACAAGTAGCTCATCATGCCTACTTCCGATGGCATGGACCCAGTGAGATGGTTGTCATAGAGATGCAGTGATTCCATGCCATGCATGGCACCAATCTCTGTTGGGATACTGGAACTGAGATTGTTTCCATAGATATGAAAAAGCCAAAGTGATGAAAGCAAACCAACCTCTGATGGGATGGCCCCTGATAGAGAGTTGTACCTCAAAGACAGAGCCTGGAGAAAAGAAAGTGCACTGATGGTGGTTGGAACTGTCCCACTCAAATGGTTGCCCCACACAGATATGATGTCAACTTGGGTTAGCTGACCCAGCTCAGAAGGGATCTGGCCAGAAAGCTGGTTTGCAGACAAACTCAATCGTTGCAAGGACTCCAATCGCCCAATTTCACTGGGTATAGTTCCATTCATGATGTTTCTAGCTGCATTGAAGACTTGAAGTGATGATAACAGTCCGACTTCTGATGGAATTGACCCTGACAAGCTTGATTCAACAGCAATAAACAAGGTGAGATTCTGTAGCATCCCAATGCTTGTTGGAAGGGAACCTGATAAGGCTGTTTGTTCAATCCTGAGGGATGTCAAACCGGCACAGAATCCAATCTCTGAAGGTAAATCTCCAGTGAGGTGTTCAAAGAAACTCAATGCCAAGTTCTCGAGATTGGTGAGCATTCCAATCTCTGTTGGGATTGTAGCTGACAAAAAGGGGTTCCCATCAAGGTTGAGAGTATGCAAGGATGTCAAAAGGAATAGCTCCAATGGGATTGAGTTGCCCTCCAAGTTGGCCTCGGGAAGCCAGAGAGTTTCATAGTACAAGTCATCCTCTAGACCAATGATGCCAGTATTGGCACAGGGGCCTTCGGGTAGGAATATTTCTTCATGGCCATTGGAGTCATTGATGATGAGCTCAGTGTCTTTGGTGAATGACCAACTGCATTCGTGCAAATCATGACTCAGCCATCCTTCATTGACAAGGTTGTACCAATCATTTCCTCCTGTGGCATAGAAGATGACTGCCAATGCATAACGTTGGACCAGCCTGGTATCAGAATAGAGTCCCACTGCTGTGTCATTCATAAGCCACTGAAAGGCTCTGTGTTGTGGAGTACCAATGACAGGGATGTTCTTGGAGGAAAACTCAGGCAACAGGTTCATAGTGTAGTCTTTTTGAGTTGATGGAGCTGCTGAAGGACTAGCTGATGGAGAAAATGTAAGGGCATCCTCATTGTTATGCTTGGGGAGGAACAAAACCAGCAGTACCACAACAAGAAGAGCAAGCAGACCAAGGCCAAGGTAGCCAAAAACCTTGAGATTTCCTTCCTTACGAGCTTCTTCCACCTGGGCAAGATGCTCCTCTTCATCCCACTGCTCAGCTTGAGGTAGCTTTTCCGGAATATTCTCATCTTCAACAGGACGAGCTGCCACAAGTCCATGATCACCACTGTTCTCAAGTCCATTTGCTGTGCCCCCCCTCCCTTCCAAGAAGTCTACAGTATTTGATGACTGATCGTCTCGGGTGGCAATAGTAGTGGCACTACCCTTGTTTCCGAGGGCTGCAAGTTTATCACGGTAACGAGTGCGTCTGCCACTTCCAGTTGTGTGATTGCTGTCACCGAGGGGAACGCTGCGGGGATAAGCTGCGCCATGTTGACGCCCATCTTCAACAAGACCATTGATGGGGGGAGGAGATGAGTCGGGAGGGCATCGTTTGATCTTGCGGTCTCCTAGCACTCTGGGCCCGTTGCTGCTGGGGATAGCACCAACTCTCTGCTTGTCTTCACCATCCGGCTGCTCAGCTTGCACAGAACCTCGTGGGTTACTTGTCGGTTGAGAGTCCGTGGGGCACCGTTTCATCTTGCATTCTCCCAAGGCTTTTGGCCCACTGGCACTGGAAATGGCACCGACTTGTTGTTGGGCATCAACATTCGCCTGCTGAGTTTCCATAGAGCTCTCACTACTTCTTGGATGGTCTGAGGGCACTCGCTTGGTCTTGCGGTCTCCTAGAACCTTTACCCCATCAGTGCTTGGGATTGCACCCACTGGCGTCCCGGCGAGGGTGCGGTTTGCTTTGGCTTTGGCTTTGGCAATGTAATCATCGACGTCCAGCTCGTTTTCCATCTTACCTTCACGCCAGCCCAGTTCTTCGTCTTTTTTCATCATATTTTGGCTTGGTGCTACTTGGTTGTCCTGCTGATCAGAGGGCAGAGAAGTAAAATCTCAAGATTGTGATCCTCTGATCCTCTGAAGCTTCCACCTTCCACATCTGGCTATGATGGCTAGCTAGGCCGCCGGTTACCTTGGCGCGTGTTGCAAACCGGTACATGGACTGATGCTTCATTGTATTCGCTTATCCCAAAACTGCGCAGGTGAACCTGAGTGGATGACCTAATTATCCCCAGGTTCAGGCTTAAGAGTCCTGAACCAATTGCATCTATTGAATCACGATTTTAATCACGATTTTAATTGAACACAATATGTACACGTACTGACAGAGGTCCATGTAGAAGAGAGACTGTGGTCAACAGTACTTGTACTGACGCTGGTCCCAAAACTGCCCAGCCTGATGAACTTCAACATGAGCATTTTCCATTGCTGTGGTGCTGGTACTGACATGAGCCCAAGAGAGCGAATTAGCAAATTACTCTCTTCACTCCGTTGATCAATAGTGGCATGCATCTTCTCTAATTTGGTCAATGCTCGTCAGCCGATTAGCATGCAGTGGTTTTCAAGCCTTGATGGGTTTTCAACGAAAGAAGAACGAAACGATGGCCAAGTTGAAATGTTCAGCGCGTGGGATAAATGTGGTCGGTGGTCAACCTTGGATACTTATGGTCATTTACTTTTAAAAACGTCTCTTTTGGGAGGAGATACGGTAGTACCACTGACAACTGAGGCCTGGAGCATCGAAATTTGCTTCTTGTGTTGGGTCGAGATGGTGGCTACGGTAGTGCCACTGACAACTCTATCGTAGTACCACTGACAGCTTCCTGAGTGAAAACCGTCGGACGGTCCTGGCAGTACCTTCAAAGAGATCCGTGACTGAGTTTAATCATTTGTCTTCTGCGCGCGCAGTGGTCGAGACAAATGCACGATCTCTAAATCTCTTTGGGAATTATACAAATTCAAGAGTAAATAATGGGAAAGCTATGGGAAGCAATCTGGTTCTCTGTGTACTCGTAATTAAAGGGGACACACCTTCACACCACCGAACACCGAACCTCGATCCGAAGCCCCCTTTCATTATCAGGGGCTTCTGTCAATTATTCATCATTTCCTTGGATTCGTGACTAATTCGATCAAATCGTGATTGATAGGGAATCGCGTTTATAATCAATTATGCGCACTTCACGGTTGAACTTGTGTTCGATAGTGTACAGTAGCTTCACGTCATCTCGTTTGCCACACTACGATGTACAGTGTACTGCGTACGGTACCGCACAGCCAGCGTACCGGTACAGGGTGGTACTGGTACCGAACGGAGTGTACCGGACGGTACAAACGGTACGGTAGCAGTACATGTACTATGTAGCCAACTCACGCGAGGTGATGAACATCTTGATTCTGAAGACTACTATAGTACCTTGCATGATTTTACTTTTTTGGAAGGTAGCCTCCCTTCTGTCATAAAGAGAGAAAGCCATTTCCTTACAAGCATCAGCACAGCAAGCAAGCGCACAAGTCACTTACTTTTCAGAAGAACACAACGACACACCAAAACATGGTCAATTTTTCCTTCTCAGTCAAGTTGTTGGCATCGGCATTGGCGAGTTTCCCATCATTGGTGGCGGCACGCCATAGTGCAACCACTGGTCATATTGATTTCCAACGCTCTCAGAATATTCCTGTCACGGCCAGCACGTCGACGCCGCCCCCGCCCCCCTCACATGACGAGGCCGCATGTGGTGAGGCTTGTGGTGACCCTCACCTGAAAACCTTTTCTGGGGAATGGTTCGGTAAGATTCTGTTGGCCTGCCACTCTGCCAAAATGCTTGACTTGACAAGTCACCACCTCACTCCTCTATTTCCAAAATCACATGCTATTCAAGATTTCCATGGTTAGTTCTGACAACAGATATTTGGCATTACATGTGGGAAATGCACCTCTACAGATCTCACACAAAGTGTTTTTGTTTGTGGCTGTGTATTGTGCTTGCTCAATCACATCAGGTGGGTGTGATCTGGTGCTGGTCCAGGCTCCTAATTTTGGTGGTTTGGGCATGGACCTCCATATCCGTACCAAGGTTCGGTATGACTACAGTTACATTGAAGCCGCTTCTCTTCGAATTGGGAACGGTACGCACACCGGCACCAGTGATGTACTCCAAGTGGGCAGTTGGGGAGAGTACTCTTTGAATGGTGTAGATGCAGCGGACATGGATGGAGTCGAAATGGGAGGCTCGTTTCCTGCCTATCATCGTCAAGTCAACAAGAAGCATCATGTGTTTGATATTGCTATTGGAAAGAACTGGAACATCACCCTCTCTACCTTTAAAGACCTTGTGGCTGTCAAAGTTGGAACTGGTGGGGGTCAATCTTTGAGTTACGAGCACTTTGCTGGAAATAAGGGATTGATGGGATCCTACGACCACACCCAGAAGGGAGCCATGTTGGCTAGAGATGGGGTGACCCTCATGACAGATGACCCTATTGGGTTTGGCCAGGAATGGCAGGTACGGGATGATGAGCCAAAGCTCTTCCAGACATCCCAGGAACCCCAGTATCCTAGAGAGTGTGTCATGCCCGGTGTCGCCAGGGGAAGCCGCCAACGCCGCTTGGGTGAAACCATTGCCCGCAATGCTGCTGAAGCTGCCTGTGCCAGTCATTGGGAAGAAGGCACCAGAAAGGAGCTTTGCGTTGCTGATGTCATGGCCACCGGTGACCTTGAAATTGCCCAGGCTGGTGTCTTTTGAGAAACGGTCGCAATGTGTTTGATGGCGTCGTAAAGTAACATGTGCCATTCATGGCACAAGGATCGAGATGGCGAGAGTTCTATATATGGATACAAAGATAGCACTGTGTTGACAAGATAAAGGCTGCTTCAATTTGAAACACTTAGAGCGTTTCCTGCTGTAGCTACGGTTACACAGTGGACACCACCGGACAAGTCGAACGTGTGCTGCTGCTGCACTTCTTGTTCGGAAGACGCTTGCAGAACTCCAGTGGCCTTCGACTACTGTAATAGAAGCAAAACTTTGACCTTCCTAGGAGGCCACATCTTTCGCAACATTGTGGGATCATTGGTGCACCTCCAGTGTTAGCGATTCCAACGGAGCAATTCCACAGTCGGCCTGTCCAACAAATCTACCGTTGGTAGCCGTTCACGTGTCCAACACAACGGGCTGCAACCGGACGAGCCTTCAACAGTTGCCCTTGTTTCACACGCAAGATGGAAATTTGAAGGATACTTTTTCCTTCCTGATTGTTCCATCGGGAGAGCCCCGTTTTGACCATGAGATTAGTATCATCATCACCCGCACAGTACGGCATCTTGTTGTTGGGATGTCTACTAGTACTACTACCGAATACAGCAGAATGCGGGAGAGCTGAGAACGTGGACGAATACGCTCTGACCATTCCGTTCCCCATTCCGTTTCCAGTGTCCAATCCCAACACGATTGTGAATGGAGACAATGCCAATGTTGGTGAATTTCCCTGGTACTGTGTCTTTGCGGGCGGTGTCCTATGCGGAGCAACGCTGGTACACGAAGACATTGTGGTCACGGCGGCTCATTGCATTGACGGGAGTGTCCCACCAAGACTCCGATGTGGAGCCACCACAACCAGCAATGGCGTCTTGGTGGATGTGGAAGCCTCGGTCACGCATCCTCAGTATAAGGATCGAGAATTGGCCAACGATATTGCCATTCTCAAGCTAGCAAATCCCCTCAGCATTCAAGTGGCAGATTTCAATACAGACGAAGCTGTCCCAGCAGGAGGATCCGAAGTGACTGCCATGGGCTTTGGTCGTACCGAACCGGACACGGGCGGTGGTTCCCAAAGCCTGCAGAAACTGCAAATGGAGGCTCTGTCCGATGCCGAATGTGCCGCTACCTTTCCAGATTACGAGCCCAGTCGGAATATCTGCGTCGATGAAAACAATGCTGGTATCTGCTTTGGAGACTCGGGCAGTCCGCTTGTGAATGATGCTGGGTTGGTGCTGGGCGTGGCCTCGTTTGTGATTCAATCCTGCGATTCCAGGTTTCCCGATTTCTTTACCCGCATCAGCACCTATAGTAACTGGCTACAGCGCAGCATATGCTCCGAATCGGATAACCCACCGGATGCGGACTGCGAGAATGTGGGGGATGATGATGGGGATGGTGGTGGCGGCGGCGGAGATGGTGGTATAATTGATATTATCACTGGCTGCATCACCTTTTGGATCGACCTCTGTGGTGGATTGCTGGATTTCTAACTAAGAACTACATACTGAAAACTAATCATGCCGTGATGGGAGGTCAAGCAGAAAAACTAAATAATGGCACTGCCAGAAACTACATGCAATGATATAAAAATGATAAAGAGAAGCTATCCAATAGGCTATGTTTCCATCATCTACCCATGAAGTCGGGAATGGTATCGAGCAATGCATACCGGTCAATAGCTAATTTGGGCAAAAGGATGGCGCTATCAACCAAAACTTTTGGTTGAGTTTTCCAAAAGATAGATCCATCATTAGGAAATGCGAACGGAAGTTGAGTGCACTTTTCTTTGATGCGCCAGCTTTGAAGCCAAGTTCTAATTACCAAGACACATTCCGAGCCTTCTCTAAATACACTGTGTAGATCCGTTGAAGCTTTGGGTAATTAGACAGAGCATGCTTCAAACATGTCTGAAAGTCGGTAATTAGCAAGTTGGCGAGGTCTCCAAAAACCCTTCTCGTGGGAGTCACCTGCACTGGATCCTGGTGGCAGTTGAGAGGCTGGGAGGATCGTCGAAGCTTTCGTCATTGAAAGACGAGCGTTGCAAAAGCAAGGCCAAGGAAAGAAAAAGATGAGCAAAGTCGCCTTTGTTGCTGTCTTGACTGGCCTGTTGGCCTCGTCGGTGGGTGCCGATCCTGACATGGTGCGATGGGGTGAAGGAGGTCTACCAGAGGATGCAGAGCTAGACAACTTTATCATAGGAGGAACTGATGTTGTACCTGGAGAACTTCCCTTTTACGGGCACTTTCAGGGTGTCACCATGTGTGGTGGAGCTCTGATTCATGAAGATATCTTCGTTACTGCCGCTCACTGTTTGGAAGATGGATTCCCTTCCACCATCAGGATTGGAGCCACTACTACCGTTTCGGCGAATGAAGGAATTGAGGTCCCCGTTTGTGCTGGTATCATTCACCCCAACAACAACATGAAATCCATGGAGAACGACATTGCCATCCTCAAGCTGTGCGATCAAGTTAAAATCAATTCCTATGCAGAATACGATACGTCTACAGCAGAGCCTCCAACTGGGCAGGACTTTTGGATTGTTGGCTTTGGACGAACCAGCGTGAATGGCAACTTGTCACCCTTTCTGAAAAAGGCAAAGGTGGACTACCTCAACAGCGCTGTTTGTGCAGGCCGATACACCAAGTATGATGCTCTCGAGAACATGTGCGTCGATGGTGCCACCACTGCCATTTGTTATGGTGACTCTGGTGGTCCTCTATTGGATGTAAACAACAAGGTCTTTGGTTTTGCCTCCTTTATCATTGACACGTGTGGCTCCGAATATCCCGACTTTTTCACTCGCGTCTCGACGTACGCTGGCTGGCTTCGAGAAATGACTTGTACTCAGGCAATCAATCCACCCATGGAGTGTGCTGTCGCCAGTGGAGGAACAGGCAACGGCGGTGGCAATCCTTCCCAAGGAAACGAGGGCGGTGATCCTGCTGCTCCTGCAGATGCTCTTACAGAGTGCCTCAACGTCTTGGTAGGCTTGATTCAAAGTTTGGCCACCATTCTGGGAGGATAAGGTAAGCAGGCAGGCACCAAGAAAGAAAGAAACGAGACACAAAAATGTGCAGTACTAGCATATACTATTGATGTCCACTCTGCTAGTAGTGGCTCGCACAAAACTTAGCTATAGGTGGTGGTAAAGATGCATATTGTAAAGGACAAGCATCAAGGTTGACTTGATGTGTGACCTTGCTGGGACAGGAGGATCGATCCAAATAAAGCATGCATTAACACAGATGCCCTCCATTACGTTTGATTGACCGATTGGTTAGGTTGGATGCCACCCCGCATCACGAGATTGGACTCGACTCGACTCACTCCAAACCACACGAGGTGCAATCGTACTGTAGGTTTCCGTGTGCAAACAGTTGCGGGGACCGGTAGAAAATGTGGTGCTTGTCAGCTCCCGCCCGTAATAGCAGAACGCCGTGGACCGTTGTTATGCTGCGTTTTTGTGTTGACTCACTCGGATGCATACAGTAAACCACGCGACTTCTTGCGCCAGAATTTTGGGAGTCTTGAAAACCTGTCGTGTGACGGCTTGAAATTTGTGATTGGATGCATGGATGCTGTTTGGCTACAATATGGTCAATTCAAACGTTTGACGTGCTCTACACTTGTCAAGATCAATGCCGCTCAATCCATCCATGGCCTCACCATTAAGGGATTGGTTGACCAGCACGATCACAGCAGCGAAAACTGCCAGTAGGGCCATTGCCTCGGATGCCTGAATTGCCACACGCAATGGGCCCAAATTCTTTTCATTTTGGTCATCGTTTGGAAGTAACAACCCAGTCAGACCACCTTGATCAGGGAAAACTATTCTGAAAAAGACAGAGATCCCAGATACTGCCAATACTCCCAAGTAAAAACTCCGTTCCAGCCAATCGGGAAGGTACAGAGGACCACACCCCGTTTGAAAGACCGAAGCTTCACTCCAGAATACTCCCAACGACGAGGCAAGAGCCGCTGCGGCAGTCGTCATGATGGTGGCAACTTGGAACGTGTCATTGTTGGCAGAATTGTCCAAGTCATTGTAGAGTCTGGTGCTCCTGGGATTCGTTTTCGACAGCTGAGATGACGACCCGAAAGTACCGCTATACATAAAGGGACCCTGCACTCTCGGAACTGCCGATTTGGGCGCCAGTTGATTGCTGCCGGAAAAGGCCACCACCGTGTGGCTTAGACATAGTAGCCGTAGGAGAAATTTCATCATTTTACAAGCGTGTGTGCTTTGCGCTGCCAACGTCAAAGCTTCACAGTGTTCATCCTCTAGCTAGAGCCAGAAGCTAACAAGTACCAACAGAAATCATTGAAACATGGCTAAACCGGATGCAAGGATACAACTTCAACACCAAAGGCTTAAGGTGTTCCAATCTTCTATGTCTTTCCAGTCTCCAGGCCAAATCAGATTGATTCAGGGACACCGGTACCAGTATCCGCACGGCCCTCGCTAATTAAGCCAGCGGAGCTGTGTAACCTCGGCAGAAAGGTTTCAGTGTAGAAGCAGATACCCCTATCGATAACTAGCTAACTAGAAGCAGACACCTCTAGTGCTTAGCTAGCTAGTGCTTAACTTGTGCTTAGCTAGCTAGAAGCAAATTCCCCCTAGCTAGCTAGAAGCATAGCAAGCTAGAAGCAGACACCCTAGCTAGCTAGAATACTAGTTATATAGCTTTCGCTGGCTTTAGAGTTTTTCCTGGTAGAAGCAGATCCCCCTACTAGGATGGATGTAAATAGCTTTAGCTGGTACCAGCCTAGCTAGGATACTTATTTAGTTTTTGCTGACTTATTTGTATTCTACATGTAACCCTACCCTTATACCTGCAGGGACCACCGTACAGGAAAAACAATAAGCCAGCGAGTGTGTAACCTCGGCAGAAAAGTTTTCAGTGTAGAAGCAGATACCCCTATAGCTAGCTAGTTAGCTAGAAGCAGACACCTCTAGTGCTTAGCTAGTGCTTAACTTGTGCTTAGCTAGCTAGAAGCAAATTCCCCCTAGCTAGAAGCAGATTCCCATAGCAAGCTAAAAGCAGACACCCCTAGCTAGCTAGAATACTAGTTATATAGCTTTCGCTGGCTTTAGAGTTTTTCCAGGTAGAAGCAGACCCCCCTACTAGGATGGATGTAAATAGCTTTAGCTGGTTTGCACCACCCTACATGTAGCTAGGATACTTATTTAGTTTTTGCTGACTTATTTGTATTCTAACCCTACCCTTATACCTACAGGGACCACCGTAGCAGGAAAAACAATTAAAGGGGTTGAGGGCTCTGGCAGCAAGACTGCCGAGGTTAATTAAAGGGGTTGAGGGCTCTGGCAGCAAGACTGCCGAGGTGAAAGTAGCTACTGTACTCTCTACCTGGTAGCTAGCCAGCTAGAATACGATAGCCTTAGATCTCGTCCCCCAATATTTATTGCCATAGCTTTTAGCGCTGGCCCTTCAAAACGAGGCCTAGAGCTCATACCAGTATGGTTCCTTCTACTTGTGCCGCCATGACTTTGGCCCCCAGTTAGATACGGTAGGACCGTTTGGCTGTTCCAAGAACGGACAGTTTTGATTGGATGCCTGCAAGACAGCAAACTGCCAATCTCTCACATGCCAACCCCATCTCCAGCCAAGCATGTTGTTCGTTGCGTGCTGGCTGGATGGCCATTCCTCGGTACGTGGTCCCCGCGTATCGAGGAAGATCACCACCGGCAAAAGCCTCCTCAGCCTCCAATGGTGGACGCACTCTTCGCTCGTTCGTAATTTTCCCCTCGAAAACCCGATAGACGATGGCGCAATGCCAACATGTACTATATTTCAATCGAACGAAAGTGGTCAGTTGCCTCTCTCAAGTTGCCTCTCTGTGAGAGGCAACTGACCTAGTCCGGGTGTCCATAGTTGCTCATGCTCTCAGCTGTTCTCCCAAACCAGCCTGACACAACTCGTCTGCAGCATCCCACGCCCAGAGACCAAATGTAGCGTCTCAAGCGTCCAATGACCACCTTGAGTGTAGAAATTCCTTTTCAAAGAAATGAAGTCTTTCAGTTGTTGATCACCAATCAACAGGGACTCGGATACCAGCTGCACCAATCGTGAGGTCCAAGCAAGCATCGTCTCTTGGCGATGCACCATCATTCGATCTGTTATGCTCGTGACACTCTTTGAAAAGAACCTGCAATGGACGGGCCGCTATGCATGAATACACCGCATACGTGAACACCGCAGGTTCCGTGTCTCCCGTGGTGAGAAAGTCGATTGGTGCCCGCCCTGGTCACTTGAGGGAGCAAAGTTGTGAGCTGTGCACTTCGCGGCATGGCTCCTTCCCTCTGCTTTGCTGTTGGCCTTCGGTCTCTCGAACCTCGCACCTAGCTAGGCAGAAGCAATGCACAGCACTCCACTGCTTCAAGGAAAGCAGTAAGCAGTCTAAAGCACATGAGTGCGTTACAGGTCCGGAGCGCACCTCTTTCGATCTTTTGCTCTACACATGAGTCATGGTCAGCGCTGCTTTTGTGCCAGTCGAATGATCAATCGTTCGCTAATATTATGTTACTACCATATATACAAAGCACAGAGCGAAACCGACCAATCTTGGCAAGGCTGGACATTACGCTCCTTCCAAATCCATGCTTAGAGCTCAAGCCCTTTCACCTGCAGGGCTTCTAGAAAGGCTACCTGAAGTTCTTCTGCAGGATAGGAGCAAAACTGTGGCAAGAGCTCGCAGACTTCTTCTGACAGGTGAAGGCAGAGCTCGTTGTCATGGTCAAAGCAATACTGGACGTCATAACAGGCCGCATTTACAACCCCAAGCGCAGGACAGCCACCAGTGCTAGCATCACATTCCAAGCAGTTGTGAACCCAGCACCCCACTTCCTGGACCACCTCACCATCACCTGCCGAGAAGGGACAAGCTATTGGGTCCTTCACGATGGGTGAAGTTTTACAGTTGGTGTCTTCGTCACAGACGTCACCTCCTCCAGCAGCAGCTCCATGACGAGACACAACCTCCGGTGTAACAACGGCCAACACCAAAAACATCAACATATTGAATTTGACAAGCGAAACAGAGGTCATGGTTGGCGAGGAAAGTTTTTGATTGAATTGGGGTGGTAGCAAGCAAGTAAGAGCTGTGGGCTGGAATTATGAGCGGAAAGTTAGTTGAACCCTCCTGAACGGCATTCTACCCTGGAGCTGAGGCGCGGTCCTAACCAGCTATTTGCACCTCTTTCTTCCTCCCTTCGTTCGCCAGATGGAGTTAACTGTAAAAATCGGCTTGCTTTTCTTCCAATTCCACGAAAGCTGCGGTACGGCGAACCATTGATTTCACATTATCAATTCGCCGTACCGCAGCTTTCGTGGAATTGGATTTGGCTTAGAGCCAGCCAGCTTCCGAAAACGTCAGTCCCAACGAATCCCCAACTCTAACGAAAATCAAAAATCGAAAAGTGAGAGAACTCGAGATCGCTGTCATCATCAATAGTAAAAGTGAGAACACAGTAACTCTACCACCGTGGTTGCTAGCACCGTCATTGTCGTGTAGTTACTCTGCCATAATGGACTTCAATGATGAGGAATACGAACAAGATGTGGCGTTGCTTCTGCAACTATCTATTCTTATGGTTGGTTTTCTACTGTGTCTACCGGGCGAATCCAGGAATCCTTCCTTTTTCGAGCAACGGTTGCATTGGGATCGGTATTGCCAGAAACACCAGAACCGTGGGACCTTTGCTAGACGACTTCGGATGCGCAGAGAAAGCTTTGATAAGCTGCTTTCGTTTGTAGTCGACGACCTGCTTGTTAACGAGACTCAAGCCACGCGAAGGGGTGGATCCATCATACCGGAACTGTGTCTCTACTGTACGATTCGATATTTGGCCGGCGGCTCCTACCTGGATATTACAGACATTGCTGGAATTTCCCGTAGCTCGTTCTATCGAGTACTATGGAGGACAATAACGGCATTGTGCAAGTGTCCGCAGTTGAAGATTCAATTCCCCCGTACTCAACACGAAATAAAGACTGCAATGGACGGCTTTGCCGGGATATCGGCCAGTGCCGCATAAGGGTGGAGATGGCCTTCGGCCTTATGCAGATGAAATGGGGTTTACTATCGCGTCCTGTTGGCTGTTCATTGAAGAACATGATATGGCTGGCGCAGGCTATAGCTCGCCTACACAACTTTTGTATTAATGAGCGACTCGAAACGACGGCGGGCCCAACGACAGAGCCTGCCACCAATGTGAACGGCACTGGCTACATTCCCAGCGTTCCCCATGATTTCCGGTGACACCCTCCTGTGAAAGAGGCTCTCGTTCGAAGTCCTTTCGATTATTGCTGTCGTTGAGGGAGACGAAGTGAGGGTAAATAGTAGGATGGAAGCAGATATTGAGGAGTTTGACGAGAGTGTTGATCCTCTTGGCTAAGGGATCCAACGCAAGGTTTGAAACTGTCTTGTCGTTGTACATGGTTCCCATCTCAATACTGCGGGCAATCTCCTTCCTAGCATCGTACATTGTCATGCTGCCTCCTCCCTTGACTTGACACTTCAGAGTGAGTTCACGGATCTGTACACTATTGAATTTTGACAGATCAAATGTCATTTCGTTTGGTTCTCCTTTGTCGTAGATCAATGTCTTGGCCACACGGTACATTTCCTTATCTTTCGGATTCTCTTCTTCACCGCAGACAATTTGCTTTTTCATGGGGTCGTACTTGCTGATCACAACTTTGATGCGCTCTGCCTGCTTAGCATCGGCCACCTTCTTCGCTATTTTCTCGTCCTCTTTCTTCTTCTTTTGTTCGGCCTTTGCCGCTTCCCTCATGACCTTTCGCTCTGACGGGGATGCAGACCTAGCACGGACAGCAGGCGCTGGGGAGCTAGCACGATACCGTGGCGGCCGCTCCCGTGACTCTTGCGCTTTGAGTTGTCCCATGTACATGTCTTGGGCAATCGGATCTTCGTAATATGGCAGTGGTGGTAGCGGCACTGCGAGGGCTCGCTGTTGGTGGAGTTGCTGCGTCTGCAGCTGGCGCTTTTGTTGTAGATCCCACAAGCTAAGACGTGGACGCCCACCAACAAGGAAATTCGCTGCGGGAGTTGAGGCTGCTGCTGCGACTGCTACGACTGGGGCTGCATCCACTACTTCGGCAGCCAATACTTCGGCTTCCAATACTTCGGCTTCCTCTTCGTCTCTCTTCCTCTTGTACCGCTCATCAGACTCCCGCATTTGCCGTTCTATATCTTGGCTAGAACCATCGCTATCATCTAAAGCCATGACAACGACAACGACAACGACAACGGTTGGAGTGCAATTCGATTCGGTTACGGGGATAGGAAGAACTCAAAAAAAGGGAAATTGTGGTGAAAGAGGAGCCACATATGGATGCACATGATGATTGCCTGTGGATCCACATGCACGAGGAACGAGGATAGCTATGGCAACCCACGAGATTCTATCAAAGAACAATCATATGCGATTTTCACGAGTTTTCCTGACGTACGGTGATTGCGTTTTGGCAGAATCTGGTGGGTTGGCCATTTTCGTTAGAGTTGGGGATTGTTCGTGTGAGTGGGAATGTGCGAACCACTGTATGTGGATAGGAATAAAATCTTGATTCGTACAACTAAATAAATCGACGAAAATAAATGTGTTTCGCGAATGCACGGAGGACACACATGGAGAATGGATAGGACCTCGCCTGAGTACTGAGTGCTCGAGTACAGGAGTTCCAAAAACGCAAGGACTTAACGACTCTTTGAAGTTTCTACCGATTTCCATTCCATCGGAACCATTTCGCCAGCTGCTGTCTAATCCGAAAAATGCAACAAAACCGATTCGATTCGATTCGATTCGATTCGATTCCACCCCGTCACATCCGCTCCTTCCATCCAGCTCCAACCAGTTGAATGGTAGACTACCAGTACCACCTAACCTCTTGTCGAAACTGACAAAGTTGCAGTTATTATCCATCAAGGACAACCTCTTCTCAGGCTCCATTCCAACAGAAATTGGTTTGCTCTCCAGTCTCACGCAGCTGGAACTGCATGATACAAACCTATCTGGCACAATTCCCACTGAGCTGCATGCCTTGGACAACTTGACAAGCTTGGTACTGAAAAATACTTTGTTATCAGGCAGCATCCCTGACAAGCTATGCAGCAAATTGTACCAAGAGAGATTTCTGTGTTTTGGTGGGCAGTGCCAACGTATCAGGACAGCAAATGCAGCCTGCCAGGGTACCTATCTCTGCGGATGCAATTGTACTCCTTGCACCCTATAGTAGTACAAGATAGTCAAAGTTATGCGTGTGCAGCTTTCTGGGTGTTGTAGGGACTTCCAGCTGTTGTTTGTTCACAAGAGTGCCCTTGGAAGGTCATGTGGCAAGTGTATTAATGAACGATGGATGACAACGTCCATCTTCAGTTCTAGGACACGCAGGAACAGCCATTGCTACAAAAGAACATCATGTCGTCAATGGAGCATGGCTCCGACTGTAATGTATGACTATTTTAGGGAGAGATGCCGCTATGGAAGGCAAGAGAAGCCGAAAGGGGCAACACCCTTCATGAACTCTGAAGACAATCAACAGACTGAAAAATTTGGGACAGGTATGCCTTGGGTTGTACGAAGGCGTGAGTTTACATCACTCATACATTAGAAAGGCTGAATGGACGAGGGAAGTCAGCACAGAACCCTACGAGGTCGCCTCGGCCTCCACAAAAGATCTTCGCTTCAGTTTCTGAGCACGGTCAAGGCGTGATTTTGCAACGACAACCACGGAAGCGGCTCATCATCGGCCGCATTCTAACCCTCCTTAAAGTTTTTCAAAATCTGAGGAGAGCTCAGGTCAATGGGGGTTGGTTCCATCTTGTCTTTCTGTATTCGTCCAGGCATGGTCCAGAACCAGCCAAATGGGACGGACCAACTCATATTGGGAGGAGCCTTTTCCTTGTCATTGGAAAGGGCGTGGCGTCCGAGGATGCGGAACTTGACCGCAGGCTTGTTGGTCTCCTCCAAAAGATCCGTGTTGATCAGCGCCGCGGCACTGCCAATGTCAAACATGGGAGTGTCGCAACAACTGGCATACACACGGCGAACCGGAGATCCTTCTCGAATCAACGTGGGGGTCAACAGGTTCGACCCTTCCTTCACGGAAATCTCGCTAGGCTGATGGAAAAATTCAATTCAATCAAACAAACGAAAAAAGCAATACAAGATCAGCAATCCAAAGGCTACTAGATAGAGCATTGCGTTTGGTGGCAACTTACGTAAATCTGAGTGAGGTCGACGCTACGGCATACACAAAGAGCAATGGTCGCCAGCAGAGAGTGAAAAGGAGCTGAGCAAACAAGCAGAGAAGCAAGTAGCTGGCTAGCAAGCTGACCCACACAGCAACACGTACCCACCCCACGAATCCAAAACGGCATTTGGTTCCTTATTCTTCTCTTTGGCTAGCTCGTTCAACGAATTATAATATCCGCGATAGTCCTTGCTGTAACAAACGAATCGCAACGCTGACGGCGAATCAATCGCTAGCTGGACTTTGCCACACTTGCATTGCACAGCTTGTCGGAGTGGCGATGTCATGGGGGTACTTTCTTTCTTTGGCTGGACAACAACGGCGGCGATGCAAGTAGTAATGAGGACAACAACTGCATAAAACGCAAAAGGGCTCATTTTTCTCCCTTCGTTTGTGAGTTGTTCTTGCTTTCTCTTGCTTCTTGCCCTAACCGCTTCGCATCTGTTCATGACTCGTTGGTTGCCACAAGGAACGAGCAAGTCGTGGAGTGACTATTGCAGCCCGTGCCGTACTAGTGACACTAGCTACTACCAGTAGAAACTACATGTGCGATAGCTGTGCCTACCTTCCAGAGATCTTATGGTCTCCCATTGGAAGCGAATCTAGCCGATGTATTCTATCGACGCATGAGAACCAGAGACTTGATGGATGAGAACGGTGCGCTCAACCAAGACGCCCTGGGAAAGAACGTGGCGAGAGTCGAGTCCCACCGGCAAGCCAGCGATTTGGATTCATGCCGCAACGCACCCGCGAATTGCATGTTAACTTTGGAATTACAGAGTCCCCAAAGGGACGAAGTTCTATTGCAACATGGGTTTGAGGGACGAACAACAGAGGTTGATGGATGTTGAAAACAAGGGGAATCAAACCACACCACAGTTTGCAGAACAAGAATGAATAACGAAACACTGGCTAGGGTACTAAAGCAAGGAGAGATGAATTCAATAGGAGGATCCACTCTCTACTCTCGGTGTGTTGTGCGTCGTGTAGTAGCCTCTAGCTAGTTGGCTGACTGCTGCTTTGTCAATGACACGACGATGAAGGTAGACTCCCGCCCCTATTGAGGTGGTGATGCCGGAATTTCCGTACGTTTCAAGCGAAGCGGTGGACAAGAATCGTATTTCATGGACCGTCAGTCCACCGATTCATCCATTCAAAGCCTCCGGTTCTCCCGTTTTGGGATCCAACAGTTCATCCCAAGAGGATGGAATCATCCACTCAGCCAAAATGTTGCAAGTAGCTAGCTAGCTCCAGCTATCTGCTGCGGGGGGTCCGTCGCCTACCGGTACCGGTTCCGGTACATATCATGAATCATCAAACGTTCCGGTACATTGAGTCTAATCATGAATCATCAAACGCCTTTGATCTTATCTTTTTTATCGAACTAATCTAGTCAGGGGAGCAATATCAACCTTGACCGCACCTTATTACATCAGATTGCCAAAAAAGTTTCGGACAGAGGAAATCAGGCCATCAAGTCCGGCACCATTGGCACCCTCAGAACCGTCGCCGCTGGAGAACACTCCACACACAGTCACTTCAGCAACAACATAGATCTGTCCACCCTCAAAGTCAGTGACTTCGAAGGATCTACTCAAGGCCATTTTGTGGTTCGAAATGGGATAGTCCTCAGGATCAATTGTTTCAGAGCCATCTTCCTTCAGTGGAAGACGAGAGTCGCCAATGTGGGCTTGCACTCCCTTGAGCCACAAGCGTTCACCTGCATCAACAGTAACAACTGCCTGTGAACCATCGTATCCAACGGTCATCGTTCCGACAGAAATAGAAGTGCCTTCGGCATACAGCTCAAAGGAGTATGCATAGTTCGATGAGGCAAAAGGACCATTGGCCCAGCCCCACGCAAGTGGGCCTTCCGCGAAACCCAAGTCCTTGAAGCTTTGTGATAGCCCCCGGCTATGGTAGCCAAATGCGACACGGCAGTCGACAGGTGAAGAGCCTTCATCGGAACTGACAGTATGTTCTTCAGCCTCATTTTCCGTGGAAGCTTTACCCCTCACAGAACGCTGTTGATCAAGAGTCTTCTTCTGTTCAGCCTGAGCTCGCTTCTTCTCAGCCTGAGCTTGCTTCTCTTCAGCTTCCGCTCTCTTCATAAATGCTTCAAGCTGCAGCTTCTGCTTCAAGCTGTCTGCACCATTCATGTCGCTGCACTTCCTTGGGTTTGCTGTAATTCTCAAATCGTCTACACCAGCACTGATACTGCTCTCACCAGCAGACATCGTGACAGAGAACTCGATTGGCAGTTTTCCGTTTTGGAAATAGCAAGCGGGCACCTGGATGACAATTTTGTGGATCTGATCCTTGTTCTGAATGCTGTAACCAATGCTGGTGTCAACACTAAGAACATGTCTCTTCCAGTGGATGCCACTCTTGAAGCCAGACTTGATGGAACCAGCTTCGACCAGATTTTCACCATCTTTGAAAGTGTCCATGTGGAACTTGTTGTCACCAATCTTGACATAGAATCGGTTGTTTCTACGACTCTGAGTTCGCCAGTCGCCAATTTCATAGAGCAAGAATTCAACAGTGGCATAGCTAGCCCATCCTGGCATGTCAATCTCCTTCCTCACTGGTGGGCTGTCCTTGTGGAACCGGCCGAGGAACAATGATCCAGATCTGGGGGCTGTGTCAATGATGCCCCACCTGCTGACATCATTTTCTTCGAAATCTTCATCAATAATAACCTGTCCACAGCCCTTCTCATCATTCAGATCAAACTCAACATCGAGTGCCATCTTCGCTTCTTCGGCACCACCTGCGCAACCCTCATAAAAGCATCTCTTGTCACACTCACTGCAGATGTCTAGCAACCATGTCGGAGGGTTCGCCATGCATCGCTCAACAGAACCCTCATAAGGAAGATCACACCTGTTGATCTTGCTGAAGCTTTCCCCTTCTCCATAGACAAACAATGACTTCCTTTCATCACGGACACACCATTCCTTGGTGCAGTATTCATAGTTGCCTGCGTCCTTGTTGGGGTTGGCCACTTCGTATGCACTGCCATCAGACTTCATGAATTCGTTTGTCGGGTTGTCATCGTTAGACCCCAGTAGGCCAACAATCTCATTTGGTCGGTAGTCATCAGGCAAACAAGCCTTCACAGAGAAGTAGCATCCGTACTTGGTGGATGAGGTCATTTTCACCACAAATTGAAGGCCAGTCTTTGGGTAGTACACCACAAGCTTCTTTCCGCTGCTCTTGACAACCACGTCCTCAAGGCCTGTGCCATCAGATAGGTTGCGCTTGTGCTTGCCTACAAACATTTCAATGGGGCATTGCCTGTCGTAACGACTGGGAACATTGAGCTGAATTGTTGGAATGCCTTCGTCTCGAATAGCAAGCCCACGTGTCACGGTGATGCGGCGTTTGTCAAAGCTCATGAAACGGCCTTGAACCTCGAACTTGGGTTGCCCCTGAGCATTGGTGTCCAGGGTCTTCATCAATGTGAACTCACCCTCACCCTGGCAGTTGTATCTGATACCATCGAAGGTGGTCATGTGAGGATCGCCCCACGCAGTTGCAACCCTTCCCCCACACACAGCTGGGAGAGGGTCTTGAGTCATTGGCAACGCTTTTGGAGTGTGCAAGGTATCACAGGATTGGGCAAAAGCAACAACTCTGAAGTCATCTAGGCCCGTGCTTTCATCGCTGTTGTCGGCATTCATCTGCACTTCAAGACCAAAGTCGATGGTGCCTTCCTCAAAATGCTTTGGTGAAATGGCAAGCTTTACTTTGTGCATCTGGTCTGCACCTCTGCTGCCAGCAAGGCCAAGGTTGCCACTGTCACTGATACTGCTGAGTTCCCAACTGATACCATCAATGGTGTCACTTGAGAAGACTTCAAGCTCGTCATCAGCTCCAAAGGTGTCCAAGTTCACAGCTGTGTTGCCAACTGTGACATTGACACAGGCTCCTTCTGATTTCTCATGTCGGCCAACTTCATAGAATAAGAACTCAATAGTCACCAACAGGGAATCCGTGGGTACATTGAAAGTCTTTTCAACCTTGTGGCTCTTGCCATCATTGAGAATGTGTAGGAAATTGATGTTGGATCCATCGTTCGAAATTTCTCCCCAGGCACCATCCCACTCATCGTCAAAGTCCTCAAAGAACATTTGCTTGCCGCACACTTCACCATACTTGTCCTGTAGAGCATGTTCATCTTCCAAGACACGCTTGCGGGACACTTCATAGGCTGTAGGTTCAGAGCTGGGCATATTTGTGGGGTATTCAGTTGGGGCTGAGCTTGGCGTGTTTGTGGGGAAACCAGTTGGTGAATCAGTTGGGCTTGGCGTGGGTCCACCGGTGGGTGTGTCGGTAGGACTGGAAGTTGGTGAATCAGTGGGGCTGGGAGTGGGCCCACCAGTAGGCGATTCAGTTGGGCTTGGGGTGGGCCCGCCAGTCGGCGAGTCAGTTGGGCTCGAAGGTGGCCCGCCAGTCGGTGAGTCAGTTGGGCTCGGGGTGGGCCCATCGGTTGGGCTGGGGGTGGGCCCATCAGTCGGTGAAACACTTGGTGCACCACTTGGAACATTTGTTGGGTATCCAGTTGGTGTAGCTGTTGGTACAGCTGTTGGGCTGTCAGTTGGGCACACGCATCTACAGCGGTGTGCCTCCGTAGCATACGCGCCTCCTGTACAGGAGACAGCATGGGCAATGACCCACACCTTCCCAACACCATCTGTATCGGTGAATGTTGGTACATGAGTGAATGTGTAGCTGTCAGTTCCAGCACCATCCAGTCCCTCATGGATAGCAGTGTATTTTCCGGGAGAGACTGTTTCTTTTCCCATGAATGTAGGGTATTCGGAGTCGCCCACATACAGATGTGTTTCCTTCATGCTGTAGCCACTGCTGGTGTCAAAGGTGAAAGTTGCAGTTGCACCAACGCCATCAAAGCTGAAATCCAATGTTCCAACAAGAGCACCTCTATCCCTGACGCACCCTACAGCTCCGGCCCAAATATCCATGGTATAATCGCCAGGTGAGAGGGGTCCACTGGTCCATCCCCAGTTATTGAACTTGGGTTGGAAGCAACTGCCATCAAGAGGATGTCCAGTATGGCCGCGCCAGGCATAGGCAGTCTCATCACAGACTAGGGCATCCTGATCGACAGCGTAGCAACCCTCAGAACAAGCACTGCATGGCAAGGATGGTGCAGAACTTGGGAATCCAGTTGGCGAAGTGCTTGGACTGTCCGTGGGGAAACCAGTTGGCGCATCAGTTGGTGAATCGGTTGGGCTTCGCGTAGGTCCACCAGTTGGTGAATCAGTTGGGCTAGGAGTAGGTCCACCAGTTGGTGAACCAGTTGGTGAACTACTGGGAGCATTTGTTGGGAAACCAGTCGGGCTGCCGGTTGGTGAATCAGTTGGGCTACGAGTAGGTCCAGCAGTTGGCGCATCAGTAGGGCTGGATGTTGGTCCATCAGTTGGAGAACGTGTTGGATATCCACTTGGAGAAACACTTGGGGAATCGGTTGGGTATCCGGTTGGGCCCTGTGTTGGCGAATCGGTTGGCTTTGAAGTTGGGACATCGGTTGGATATTTAGTTGGGGATTCGGTTGGTGATGTTGTTGGTTCGTCTGTTGGGCCGCTTGTGGGGTTGGCACTTGGGGATGAACTGGGGACATTTGTTGGGTATGCAGATGGTGCATCAGTTGGGGACGGTGTTGGTCCAGCTGTGGGACCTCCCGTTGGGGAGCTCGTTGGAGCTGAACTGGGGGCATCGCTTGGCAAAGAACTTGGAGTACCAGTGGGTGCAAAAGTGTTGAAATCACCACAAACAGTTGCTGCTGCCGCCACATAGTAATCACAGCCAGACATGACTGACGACATCTCAACAAGGAAAGATTGTGATGTGAGCTTTGTGTGATGTGTGCCTTCATCATGATTGTAGGGGAAGGTACCAAATCCCTTCAAGGCTCCTTCTCCATCAATCGGGAAAGGTTCATCACCCACATACAGGTGAGTCTTTCGAATGACAAAAGCATGATATGTCGTGTACGTAACAGTGATTGTGCCATTGCCATTGGGGACTATGTGAAGACTTCCAATTTCTTCTCCCTGTGGTCTACAGTCATCTGGTGACCGCTTCGATGCCATTGACCCCATGTACAGCGTCATGGTTACAGGGCTCGCAGATAGGTCAGTTCCATCGCCACCTGGTGGGCAGATACATGTGCACATGTCATCACCAGTACCCACAGTCACAGGTGCGGCACCAGCACTGCAGACAGGACATTCACAAGCCGAACACCCCGAGGCAGCATATCGACCATTGCTGAAAGCCCAGTTGTCAGACATATCCACATAGCACCGAGGTGAAGTTGAGTCATAGGCCCATGTGTCCAGACATTCGTATTCGCTTGTGGTAGGGAACAGAGAGGGTGTTGCCGTTGGACCTTCAGAAGGACTATTGGATGGCCTGGCACTTGGAGAATTGGTGGGATAGTCACTGGGGCTTGTGGTGGGGCCAGCACTGGGGCTGGTAGTTGGGATAGAACTGGGACTTGTTGTTGGACCCGAGCTTGGTGCTGATGTTGGACTCACAGAAGGATAAGCGCTAGGGCTCTCAGTTGGGAACCCAGTTGGGCCAGCTGTTGGTGCAGCACTGGGGCTTGTGGTGGGGCCGGCAGAGGGGCTTGTAGTTGGGATAGAACTGGGCCCATCCGTTGGGCTAGGGGTGGGCCCGTCAGTGGGTGAAACACTTGGTGCACCACTTGGAACATTTGTTGGGTACCCAGTTGGGCCAGCTGTTGGTGCACCACTTGGGCTCTTCGATGGTGAGTCACTGGGACTCGTGGTGGGAGATCCACTTGGTCTTGAACTAGGAGATCCAGTGGGGTGACCGCTTGGTGAGGTTGTTGGCCCAGCGGTTGGTGCTGCAGTAGGGCCACCAGTTGGGCCACCTGTAGGGTGAGCAGTCGGGGATCCACTCGGCGAGTCTGTGGGATAGGAACTAGGGCTCGAACTGGGAGATCCGCTTGGTCTTGAACTGGGGGATTCAGTGGGGTAACCAGTGGGAGATTCAGTGGGAACAGCGCTGGGAGACGCACTGGGAGAGGTAGTAGGGCTTCCACTAGGAGAAGTAGTAGGGCCATCAGTGGGGCTACCGCTTGGGGAGGTAGTGGGGCCAGAGCTGGGGGACTCACTAGGTCTACTGCTTGGAGAAGTAGTAGGATATGCACTGGGAGAAGTCGTGGGACCAGAACTTGGAGAAGCACTAGGGCCTGTGCTAGGTGATGCACTGGGACTTGGGGTGGGACCTAATGTTGGGACCTTACTAGGGCTCTCACTTGGTGATGTTGTTGGTCCAGCTGAAGGTCCGCTTGTGGGGTTGGCACTTGGGGATGAACTGGGGACATTTGTTGGGTATGCAGACGGTGCATCAGTTGGGGACGGTGTTGGTCCAGCTGTCGGAGCTGAACTGGGGGCATCGCTTGGCAAAGAACTTGGAGTACCAGTGGGTGCAAAAGTGTTGAAATCACCACACACAGTTGCTGCTGCCGCCACATAGTAATCACAGCCAGACATGACTGACGACATCTCAACAAGGAAAGATTGTGATGTGAGCTTTGTGTGATGTGTGCCTTCATCATGATTGTAGGGGAAGGTACCAAATCCCTTCAAGGCTCCTTCTCCATCAACCGGGAATGGTTCATCACCCACATACAGGTGAGTCTTTTGAATGACAAAAGCATGATATGTCGTGTACGTAACAGTGATTGTGCCATTGCCATTGGGGACTATGTGAAGACTTCCAATTTCTTCTCCCTGTGGTCTACAGTCATCTGGTGACCCCTTCGATGCCATTGACCCCATGTACAGCATCATGGTTACAGGGCTCGCAGATAGGTCAGTTCCATCGCCACCTGGTGGGCAGATACATGTGCACATGTCATCACCAGTACCCACAGTCACAGGTGCGGCACCAGCACTGCAGACAGGACATTCACAAGCCGAACACCCTGAGGCAGCATATCGACCATTGCTGAAAGCCCAGTTGTCAGACATATCCACATAGCACCGAGGTGAAGTTGAGTCATAGGCCCATGTGTCCAGACATTCGTATTCACTTGTGGTAGGGAACAGAGAGGGTGTTGCCGTTGGACCTTCAGAAGGACTATTGGATGGCCTGGCACTTGGAGAAGTGGTGGGAGTGTCACTGGGGCTTGTGGTGGGGCCAGCACTGGGGCTGGTAGTTGGGATAGAACTGGGACTTGTTGTTGGACCCGAGCTTGGTGCTGATGATGGACTCACAGTAGGATAAGCACTGGGACTCGTGGTGGGTGAACCACTGGGGCTAACACTGGGGGTAGCACTTGGGGAACCGCTTGGAGAGGTGGTTGGTCCAGCAGAAGGTGTTGCAGTAGGGCCGCCAGTAGGGCTACGAGTAGGGTGCGCACTTGGAGATGTACTTGGCGAGTCTGTGGGAAACGTACTGGGGCTCGAACTGGGAGATCTGCTTGGTCTTGAACTAGGGGACTCAGTGGGGTAACCGCTGGGAGACGCACTTGGACTGGAACTGGGGCTTTCACTGGGGCTTGTGCTTGGACTCTCACTGGGTGTAGTGCTGGGTGTGGCACTGGGGCTTTCACTGGGAGAAGAACTGGGGCTCTCACTGGGAGAAGAACTTGGAGATGTACTGGGGGATGCACTAGGAGCACTACTGGGAGAAGAACTGGGACCCGCACTTGGTGAAGTACTTGGGGTTGCACTTGGCCCAGAACTTGGTGAAGCACTAGGACTTGCACTTGGTGATCCACTTGGTGACGCACTTGGACTGGAAGTTGGACCCAAGCTTGGTTCTCTGCTGGGGCTTGCACTAGGAGAGGCACTGGGGCTCTCGCTAGGACTTACACTCGGTGATCCACTGGGAGATCGGCTAGGTCTTGAGCTAGGGGATTCAGTGGGGTAACTACTGGGAGTAGCACTGGGGCTCTCACTGGGGCTTGTGCTTGGGCTTCCACTTGGGGAAGCGCTCGGTGACGCACTCGGGGATTCACTGGGACCAGCACTGGGGCTACCACTTGGGGAAGCACTCGGTGATGCACTTGGGGATGCACTGGGACCGGCACTAGGGCTACCACTCGGCGACGTGCTTGGAGAAGTACTTGGAGACGAGCTAGGTGATGGTGTTGGTTCTCCTGTTGGTGAGCCACTGGGAGAGGCACTGGGTGAGGCACTGGGGCCAACACTTGGGCTGACCGAGGGGCCGGCACTTGGAGATCCACTAGGAGCGTTGCTGGGGCTCTCGCTAGGAGCAAGGGATGGACTACCAGTTGGTGCAAATGTGTCAAATTCACCACAGATCCTGGCGACTGCTGCAATGTAGAAATCACAAGACTTCAATTCCACAACATAACTCTTGGCAGTTGTGGTGGGTGAGAGGGAGCCTTCTTCATGAGAGTACTCAAAATCAGCAGGTTGGACAAGAGGAACTTCCTCTCCTCCAATGTACAGTTGAGTCTGTTGAATGACAAAGTTGCCAACAGTCTGGTATGTTACTGTCGCAGTCTTGCCATCGGTACTTGGATTCACATAAACAGTTCCTGTCTTCTCTCCCTTGGGTCCACAACCTTCATTGGAGCCCATGTAGAGATCCATGGAAACAGGACTCAATGCCAGATCCGTAGAGCTGTCTTCTGATCCCGTAATGCATTTGTTGCAACCAGCCATGCCGGTGGGCCCTGTGGGCTGAGGTTCCGGCTTTTGGCATGGCCCATCACAGCGGAAGCAGAACTCCATGTGGCTGATTCCCTTGCGTTGTCCAACATCCAGAGTGTATGTTGAACCAGCCTTCAATCCATCATAAATTACGCCTCCATTGCCTCCTTTCATTATGACAACAGAGTCAACACTGGGAGTGATAACTGCATCAATGAATTGACCATCATCAGGACTTGAACAAGTTAAATCAAAAGATCCAACATCCATTTCACCCATGTCACAGCTTCCCTTTGTTTCAGTCAGGCTGTCATAATCATGGGAGCCACCAGAGCAACCCTCCATCTTCCAGCCAAAGTCATAGCCCAAATCTTGACAGTTGGGGTTGCCTTTAAAAGACTCTGCTGGTAGGTCATGGATATTCTCAGCGAAATCGGGTAAGCCGGCACAGCCTACAACGGATGGTGATGGGGCTGAGTCATCCACAGTCATGTCGCCTCCACAGCCGCATTTGTAGCACTCCGAAGTTCCATACTTTCCATTGGACCATCCAAATCGGCCGTATCCCATGTCTTCGAGGCAACTAGGGGTGACTGTCAAGTCAATAGCCCAGGAATCTTCACAGGTGTAGTCACTTGTGGTAGGGAAGGCAGATGGACTTTCGGTGGGACCAAATGATGGACTGATCGATGGTTGTGCACTGGGAGAGATGGAAGGTGCAGATGTTGGTCCAAGACTTGGTTCTACACTGGGACTGCTGCTGGGGCTCTTGCTGGGGCTTCCACTGGGTGATCCACTGGGGGAGGAACTTGGAGCAGATGTAGGACCAAGACTTGGTGCAATACTTGGGCTTTCACTTGGGCTCTTGCTTGGGCTACTGCTGGGAGCTTCACTTGGTGCTTCGCTTGGGGCTTCACTAGGTGCCTCACTGGGTGCTTCACTTGGGGCTTCACTAGGTGCTTCACTTGGGGCCTCACTGGGAGATTCACTTGGTGAAGCACTTGGGCCTGTACTTGGCGTGACACTGGGAGAGGAACTTGGTGAGCCGGTCGGTCCCAAGCTCGGAGCCCTACTAGGGTCCACACTTGGTGTAGCACTTGGGCTTGTACTGGGTGAGATGCTTGGGCTGGAACTAGGTGATGAACTTGGAGATTCACTAGGGCCAGAGCTTGGTGATTTGCTGGGGCTGGAGCTTGGCGATTCGCTCGGGAGCGAACTGGGGCTCTCACTTGGGGAACCAGAAGGACTGGTGCTCGGAGATTCGCTTGGGCTCTCACTAGGAGATGAGCTGGGGGGCTGACTTGGAGAAGAACTGGGACTCTCGCTTGGTGACGAACTCGGGCTCTCACTTGGGCTGGTACTTGGACTTTTACTTGGTGAAGCACTTGGGCTCTCACTTGGGCTGGTACTTGGACTCTCACTTGGGGAGGAACTGGGGCCCTCGCTTGGAGAGAAACTTGGGCTTGAGCTTGGAGAAGAACTGGGGCTCTCACTTGGTGTGGCACTTGGTGAAGAGCTTGGAGAAGAACTTGGACTAACACTAGGAGTGGCACTTGGGCCAGCACTAGGTGATTCACTTGGGGACGAGCTTGGACTGGATGTAGGACCAAAACTTGGTGCTCCACTGGGTCCTGCACTGGGGCTCTCACTAGGGGAAGAACTGGGGCTCTCACTAGGGCTGGTGCTTGGTGCTTCACTCGGGCTCACACTTGGTGAAGTGCTGGGGCTTGAACTTGGCGAACCACTGGGGGACTCACTTGGAGAAGCACTAGGACTTCCACTGGGTGACGAACTTGGGCTCTTGCTGGGTGATGAACTTGGGCTTTCACTAGGGGAAGTGCTGGGGGTCTCACTTGGCGATTCACTGGGGCTCTCACTGGGAGAAGCACTAGGAGACTCACTGGGTGAAGCACTAGGACTTCCACTAGGGGAAGAGCTTGGTGAAGAACTCGGACCGACGCTGGGAGAGGCACTGGGACTGCCACTGGGTGATTCGCTGGGAGATGAACTTGGGCTGCTTGTTGGACCCAGACTTGGTGCCACGCTAGGACTTCCACTTGGGCTAGCACTTGGAGTAGAACTTGGGTTTGAAGAGGGGCTTCCAGATGGAGACGATGTTGGCCCCAAGCTGGGTTCAGAGCTGGGGCTGGTTGTTGGACCCAAACTTGGGGCTATACTTGGGCTACTGCTGGGAGATTCGCTTGGTGCTTCACTTGGGGCCTCACTCGGTGCACCACTCGGTGCACCACTAGGTGCTTCACTTGGAGAAGAACTGGGAGATCCACTGGGGCTGGCACTGGGTGCAGTACTTGGAGTGGCGCTGGGGCTTCCACTCGGTGAAGAACTTGGAGTTGCACTGGGGCCTTCACTAGGCGAAGCACTAGGGGTGGAGCTTGGACTCTCACTGGGTGAAGTACTTGGGCTGGAGCTTGGGCTCTCACTGGGTGACGTACTTGGGCTGGCGCTTGGGCTTTCACTGGGTGGCGAACTAGGACTGTCGCTGGGTGAGGCACTTGGACTGGAGCTTGGTGAGGCACTTGGACTGGCACTTGGGGATTCACTGGGATTGGAGCTTGGGCTTTCACTGGGCGCAGCACTTGGGTTGGAGCTTGGGCTCTCG